GACTACTATAAAGTTTCATACCATTATAACATGTATAACATCCTCTACAAAAATGACAAACTAGCAAGACCTATTTTAGTGAAAATAGTAAACCCTATAGAAAAGTGTCAAACAATTGATTATATATTTTTTCTAGCTTCATACTAGTGACATACTACTGTACAAAAATTTGTATATCAATATGTTACATATTTTTATCCCTACAATTTTCCTCAGAAAATGTCATTTATTAATAGATAAATAGAAAGACCCTACTTCAATTAAGTTTACAGCAAGTTTATTATTTTTACTAGCTAGAGCATGTCAACACAAAACCAACAAAATTAGAATCACAATTTTATGAGTTTTCTAGCTCAAGATATCTATTTTACAAGATTACTAACATTCAAAAAGCACTTATCTAAATACATTTTAATCACCATAAAAAATACTAGAAAATGTACATTTCATATTTTTACAAAACACTACACTTCATGTGTATTACAATAAAATTTGGTTCACAAGAATTGGACCTCTAGAACTCCACTTATGATTTTTCAAAGTTGCATACAAATCTAAAATAAATCAAATAACTTTTCACTCAACAGCGGCTGACAGCTGGGACCCTCAAGTCAAACGGGCCCGCGTGTCAGCGACACCAAAACAGAGCAACGGCGCGGGATGGCCGGAGTTCGACGACGGCGAGCTTCTCCAACGACGGCGCCGTCACTACAGTGATCCCTAAGTCATCCCGCACCCACTGAGCCATCTGACGGATCGATTATGGAGGCTACGGACGTCGACAGCGCTCATGGCGGCACGGCGGAGCGGGTCGATAGCGAGGCACCAGAGCTGGCCATGACAGCCCGATCTAGGGTTACGACGAGCTTCTACAAATGACGGTGGTTCTAGCGCACACCCTATCATGACCAGCGGTGGTCGGAGATGGCCCGGCCACGGCGACGTGACATGGCAGCGAAACACCGGTGACGCCGTGCGCTGAACGGAGACCTTACCGTGCGCAGCTAGCAAGCAATGCGGGCGTGGTGAGACGGTGGGATCACGATGGAACTACGGTGGTGGTGGAGGAGTGACGCGGTGTGAGCTGGGGGCCGGCAATGGCGACGGCTACTGCGGGCGGAGGCGAGAGCGAAGGAGGAAGCCAGGAGAGAAATGGGAGCACGCGGAGTCACGCGAGCAGCGTTGGGGCGTGAAGTGGTGCGCTGAGGCCCGACGTGGCCCGACTGGCCGGGCCAGAGGTGACGTGCGGCCTCCACGCGGTGGACAGAGCCTGACGGCGGTCGGCCACTGATGGCCAGCGATTCGGCCATCAGAGCCCGTGGTATCGGCCTAACAGCGCATTTTGGCGATGATCAAGCTCCTAATCCATAGCTCATTAGCATAAACAATCTTAACAAAAGTGGTAGCCCTACATACCTTCTACAATTTCTCTTAAATGATCTAGACCTAATTCTCAAAGGATAATGAGTAAAATCATCTCAAAGTCAGGCCAATCAAACTGAAAACCAACTGTGACTTAGAAAAATTTCTAAGTGTTGAAAAACAGTGAAATGTTGATTTTTGTGAGCTCAAAATGACAAAGCTATGCACTGAATTAGCTCATGACACAAAAATAAAAGTTGTTGCTCTACTCAAATACTACAACTTTGCTTAAGGGTGCTTTGCCATGCAAAGGCTATGACATAATTCAAACTAGGTCAAACATACCACTTTAAATGATGGCATACACCATAACTAGGACTTAGAGACCAAACTAACCTTAGTCATGAATATCAAAGTGGTTCCTTATGCTATTCTAAACATGTTTAAGGTATTCCCAAGGTTCCACACACATTTCATACATTGGTTACATGTAAACCCTAACTTAAGTAAGGCAATTAAGTAACAATACATGCAATATAAGCCAACATAGATAGAATACATGATATGCTTATGCTCATGAATGCTCAATGATGATTGTGATCATGCAATATCAAGGTTAGATGCATGATTAACACCTAGGGTGTTACACGAACTACGGGATAAATCATTGTGTCACTTGTGCTTGATTTATATTACTTGCATTTCATATTGATTGGTTGAGGTGATTTCTAGGGTTTATAGTCGATCCACTTGTGTGTGGTGTTTCTACAACTTCTAGCTCTTGATATGTGACTATCATACCTGCAGTAGGCTGAGAAATTTCTTCGATCTAAGTTTTCGTTCACTAATTTTGAACTGTGACTCGAAGTTGTCTGCAGGTGCGGCAGTGCCACTGTTCTGGTCCGGTAGTGCCACCCTTGAGAGCGGCATTGCCGCAGGGTGAATTTGATAAAAGTTTGAGTGTTTGTTTTGATAGGCCTATTTACCCCCCTCTAGGCCAACCAGAGATCCTACAGTTGTAGGATGCGGGCTGGCGGCCTGCTTGCATGCGGGATTTTGGGAAGTGACGAGTGACCTGTGCCTGTGGGTGCCAGTATTCAAATTTTTCTTTCTTTCTTTTTTTATTGGGAAAAAAGTTATTCTACGCGCTACAACTGTGATTCTACATCATGTGGAAAACCAAAGGGCGCAGCCAGCCCCACCAGATACAGCCCAGATAGTTTGTTTGCCTAACCTAGCCTACCTGCATGCCCCGCACGGTCATTAAAGCAGGAAAGATGCTGCATCTCGTTTCTCCCAAGCTAGGCTTGCTGCAGCCATGAGCGAATGCTAGGGTCACCTTTGGTTCGCAATCTCCCCACGCTCTCAATGACCTAGCGTCACCCCCTCCCCTCCCTCGCCATCGAGAGCATCGCCGCCGCCATCGTCGGGAAGGTGAAGCAGGACGGCTCGCGGGGGATGTGGCCTTGCACCCTTGCACGATGCGAGCGCGCGACCGCCGGGTGCAGCGGTGGTGGGCGGGCGGGCCGCGGAGGTGGCCACTCCACCAACTAGAAGCTCGCCATCGCCGCCTCCGACCTCCCCTCCAGCTGCCTTATCCTCCTTTCCATCCGCTGCACCTCCTCCCCGTGCCTCCACCCAAGCTCCTGCTCGATTTCTTTGGTCCTGCACCCGTCTCGTGCCCTTGGCACCAGCCAACACTCCTTTGCCCACCTCGTTGTCTCCCTCTGCGGTCTACGACGCCCACACGGCCAGCGCCCCATGCCCCCATGTCAAAATGTTTTCATCGAGGTACCTAGTCAAAACGTTGTGCTTGCATAATCAAGATGGCAAAACATATATGGAAATCCAACTTGAATGAAAAATGCCTCGAGATAATTTTATTCCATCAGGGTTTAGCTACTCCGAAATCATTGATTTTTGTTCTAGAACTAGAAAGAGACTCAATCGCCCAAACAATTCAAATAACCAGACACTTCTTAAATATACCACCTCATCAGTCCTCAATGTGTTTTCAACTTTTCATGCTTAGATTTCATGTAAGGCCAGTCTCAATGGGAGTTTCATGTGAGTTTCATTTGCATTAAATGGGATGCAACATTGACATTTTTGATGACATGGCAGTGTATTTAAGAAGAGAGAGGAGAAATGAGTTTCATCTCTCTTGACACGGTTACCAACTATCTATAAATCATGGAAATAAATGCATATGAAACTATAGAATGAAACTTTACATTGAGAGCGGGTGTTTCATTCAAGTTTCATTGTTTTGGAAACGTCACTGTGACTGGCCTAAGAAAATTTCAAAGCGATTAAATAGCACAGATGTCAAAGCGATTAAATAGCGCGTTTAATAACTTTTATAACGGATACCTGTTTTTTTAAGGAAAAGATAGCTGGTCAGGGTAGTCCCAATGCATAGTTTCTAGAGTAGTTTCCAAGAACAATAAGTTGCACTATAGACCTAACTCTTCCAATGCATAGTTTCTTTTGGTCAATCTCAGTGGGAGTTTCATCAGAGTTTCATTTACATTTAATAGTCTGCCATATATGCATTTTTTATGACATGGCAACGTTTTAATGAAGAGAGAGAAGAATTGAGTTTCATGGGGGATAAAACTCTCTTAGCACGATTACCAACTCTCTATGAGTCACAGAATTAAATATTTATGAAATCATAGAATAAAACTTTACATTGATAGTGGGTGTTTAATGCAAGTTTTATTTCATTTTATATGACATGGTAGTCTTAGTAGTTTCCAAGACAAAATATTTAATGAACTCGAGCATGTTTCACCAAGGGAACACGATCACTTGTTAGTAGTTTCCAAGACAAAAATATTTAATGAACTCGAGCATGTTTCACCAAGGGAACACGATCACTTGTAGCAAGGATATATGTAGCACTCATGTGGCCACAAAGCAATCTTCAATCTGTGTTCAACCAGATCAACTATCTGTAGCTTTATTTCTTTTGTGGTTACACAAAATCCGATGTGACAAAATCATCTAGGCTGGCCATAAAGAAGGCCCAGATCGTTTCTACGTATGCTGAAGTTTGTCTTCCATTCTGGCCTTAACGAATTTTTGCAAAATAGGTTCATTCTATTGTCCGGTACAGAGATCATAAACGAAGTAGCTATTCTATAAATATGTCCATGCATCAAACCAAGTTACATTCAGCTATTGCTTCTCCATTACTCGTTCCAAAGTCAGCCACAAGCCACACCGCAACCAGGAAAAGAGAGATGTACCATGTAATCTCTGTACAACTTTACAAGTGCAGTTCCAAAAGAACTGTACATTTAAGTAACGTATGGACATATTTATATAATAGAACTGTACATTACAAGTTTCCATCTTGCCGATCCCCTACAGGGTGCAGTAACGCACAGCTTTCAACAGCAACCGCATATGGTAACAGTAACACAGAAAACTTAACATGTACCATATGGACTCTTCAGCAGCACTACAATAGTCCTGCTTACAACAGCCAGCCAGTCAATACCTCTATTTCGGTCAAAAATATACAAGGAACCATATTTATGTACCAACCGGTTCATCAGGGACAAGCATTTGAACCACCCACATTTTGTACCTGCCGTGAGTGGATATATGACGAAGGGTTCATCAGAACTCTAAAGCATGTGCGCCATCCACAATTTGAATTTGCGGACATATAGATACACAATACAAGGTCCAATCAGATCTGTCTCAGATAGTCGCTTGCAGAGCTTCAAGTACGATTCTAGGTTGCCGGATTCCTGTATGTTCCTCCGCAGTGCAGTCAGTACAGCAGCTCTATCCAGGTAATCAGGAAACAAGCCCATGTCCAGCATCTGTATGAGTGTTTCTGAGGCATCTAGAATGAAGCCACCTTTGACATAGCCTCGCAGTAGCCATGACATAGACTTCTTCCTTCTTCCGGCACTGGTTGACTCGACTCCTGCAAGCAAGCGGCGGACAGCAGCAGCTTCCCCTTGAGAAGCACAAATGGCCAATACAACATCATAGAGCTGTGTATCAGGTTCTCTGCCAAGAAGCTTCATTTCCCAAAGTTGGTGCTCAGCTTCCAAGCCGCAACCAGCACAAGTATACAATGACAGGAGCCTCTCATGCACAAGTCCTAGAACTTCGCTGCTGCCCTCTTGTACTGCCCAGTTCGATAAAAGAACACCATCACTTAACAAATCCGATTGATACTTTTCGATACTATGCATGCTCTCAGCATCCAGTTCAGAAATTGAGCCATCCTTCACCGATGAATTTAATCTTCGCAAAGCCTTTGAGAATTCTTTTTGCTCTTTAACCAAGGCAGTCAACCCAATGAGATAACTATACACCTCAGGTTTGAGCCCGGTCTCCTTAAATTCAATGACCAATTTGACAGCATTCCGATAGTCTCCATCCATCTGTCAGAAAAAAAAGTAACACAAAAAATTAGAACTCGAATTTAAATAAAAGTGCCATATGATAGCATTGGATGGCTTTTATAAGCAGACAGATTATATTGAATACTTGATTTAACATGTGTTTAGATAGAACAGATGGTAGATTATGCATCATCCTTTATAACCTTAAGCAGCATTGATGTCCTGAAGTTTGATTGGTATAATTTGGATATCATGAATCCATATTATGGTTGGTATACTATGAATTAATTACCAAGATAGAACATTTTGATTCTAGTATAACTAATCTGTTTATGTTATCCAATGTCCAGACTCTCATTGCAGTTCATATTCTAATATCAAAATGAATCATTGGAATACTCTGCCTTCTTGCTGTATGTTGAGTAAAGCCAAGGACTGCTAATCACATAGAAAAGTCTGTTGGAAAGTGCAGAACAGACATAGACGTTCTTTCGGGATGAGGGGACGTGTTACTGCTGCACTTCTTCTCATGGGTGACTACCATTGATTTCTTTCAGGTTTATTGGCGCCTTGTACAGAAAGAGGATATGCACTATAAGCAACATACCAATAGAGGTTTCTGTTCTTCCTATTCATATTTTATTTGGACATATACTTTGTATCCATTAAGAGGAACAACTTTAGAAGCCAGGAACGTGGAACAATGCCAGTTCCTTGTCCCAAGAACGTCAATCTGGGAACAGTTATGTCCCCGACTGTTAGAGTACGTCAGGGGCCTATTGGGCCTGGGTTGGCTGTATAGCCCATTAGTGTTAGGGTTAATTAGAAATAAGGGTCGCTTACTTAAGGGTCAAGTAAGCCTTGCTTGGGAGTCAAGTAAACCTCTCTATATAAGGAGAGGAGATGTATCGATCTAATCAAGCAAGAATTAAGAAGGAAACCCTTCCCTCTTGCCCGGCCGTGGGCAAACGCCCCGCGGCCGGCTCTCTCTCACCCTCGCAGCCCTAGCGTGAACAGTACCCGCGATACTGTAGCGCGTCAGCCGCCATCGCTCCCTCGACTCTCTCCTCTCAATCCTCCAGCCGCATAACAATCTGGTATCAGAGATCTCGGTTCCGATGTCGACCTCGCTGCCCACCTCCACCACTCCGCCGCCGGCCACCCACGCCGTCGCGCAGCTGCCTGACCCGCGGACGTCCCAGCCGGTTCTGCCCGCGGGAACCCTGTCGCTCGTTCCCGAGACCTCACTGTCGATGGCCACGGGGGCGTCTCCTTCTGCCATTGGCGTCATGTCGAACGCCGAATTGACGGCAGCGGTGCTCGACCTCGGCAAGATGGTGGTCGGGATTCATGCGTTCCTTTTGGGACCGCAAGGACCGCAGCCGATCCCACCACCGCCGCCCACGCAGCAGCAATTGTCGCTGCCACCACTTCCGGCTTGGATCGCCGGTTTGTCGAAACCCATCTACACGGCACCTGTACCGGCCGCGCACCTACCGCCGCTCCCAACCATCGGGGCTGTCATGGCGCATGGCGGCGCCCCGGCTCCGGGCGTCCTCTACGGCGGGGTGGACGGCCCCCTGTTCCACGGCGGCAGCCTGATGCCGACGCTCTCCGCCGCGTCGCCCTCACTGGACAGCACGGGCGCGGCGCCCTCGGCCTCCGCACAGGACACGCCGCCAGTTGCGCTTAGCTGCGCGGAGGACCTCGATCTCGTCCGCTGCGTCGGGGATCTCGGGCATGCGGTTTCCCCCACGGGCGGCGGGCATGCTATTTTCCCATGGCAAAGAAGATTGGGGCGCATCCCTCCACCTCGTTCTCCATCGGAAGCCCTCCGCTCCTCTGTGCGGTGCAGACCAGCAGCCGTCTGGCGGGGAGAAGGTGTGGGGTCACCAGCGAGAGCGCACCACGTAGCGCCGTCGCATGGTCGCTGTTGCGACCACTTCTAGGTGGCCATACACATGCACCCCTTTCGTCTAGATGGTGTCCATGGGATCCAGGAGGCGGATGGTGTCCACCTTATGTTCAGAAGTCAAAAATAAAGAGTCCCAGTCTATTTCAGGTTGAGAATAATAAAATAAGCCAAGATGTAAAAGGCTTGTTTTTAGGTGTTAGGAGTCGAGTCAGCGTTATAAGTTCGTTAGGTTGCAGCTCGAGGACGAGCTGCATGTCCAGGTGGGGTGTAGTGTTAGAGTACGTCAGGGGCCTATTGGGCCTGGGTTGGCTGTATAGCCCATTAGTGTTAGGGTTAATTAGAGATAAGGGTCGCTTACTTAAGGGTCAAGTAAGCCTTGCTTGGGAGTCAAGTAAACCTCTATATAAGGAGAGGAGATGTATCGATCTAATCAAGCAAGAATTAAGAAGGAAACCCTTCCCTCTTGCCCGGCCATGGGCAAATGCCCCGCGGCCAGCTCTCTCTCACCCTCGCAGCCCTAGCGTGAACAGTACCCTCGGAACTGTAGCTTCGTGGGTACTGTAGCGCGTCAGCCGCCGTCACTCCCCTCAACTCTCCTCTCAATCCTAGCAGCCACATAACACCGACCCAGGAACGATTGTGTTCCCAGTGTAAAAACCTTCTGCAAGTACCTTACCATGTTCCTCGACTCTGTCAATATGGGAACTTGGTAACTAAGGTAATAACACGTTAGAACAAAAAACAAAACTGATGGCATCCCTCTTCCCTGAATAGTTCAAATGCAACAGCGTTTTGAAGAGAAAAAAATAGGTCCAAAATGATCTCGTCTGCCAAAGTAGGGTCTGATTGGTTTTACCTAAAACTTACCCGAGTTACACCCATAAAATTTGCTCATGCCCTGAGCATTTGGCTATTCGCTCAACTCTTTCTCCTCTACCAGAAATATGGCAGGTATTCACACCCAAAGAACAATGAAAAACTGAAGTTGGACAATTCTTTTGCCAAATGCTCCCTGATATTAAAAGCAAGCCCACAATAACTACCCAAACTTTATATCCATTCAGTTCATGACAACGGCGCTTATAGTGCAGGTCGCTATGACAAGATTGACCCTAGAAATACCTTATCACACACAAGTTTAACCTAATAATTACGCTAGTATTGGGTATATGACAAATATGACAACCAATGTGTTCCCTGCATGCCATAGAGAAACAGGGAGAAGGATTTGGCAATGAGTATTCAGCAAAACATTGCCCCAGAAATATCTGGTCATGCACAAGTTAAATGGAACAAATACCCTAGTCCAGGGTACACCAAATATAGACCAACTAGTGCACGTGATGTGTGATGTGGGGGCGCCAATATGAACGGCGCCCCAGGGCTAGGGATGTGGCCAGAAGGGCCAGGGCGGCATCCAAGGAGACCCCAGCTGTAATCAGTAGCAATTAAGTATTATGGGGAAGGGATTAGAGTAATGAGAGAAAGATTAATGGGGAGAGAATCGAGGAGACCAGAGCTGGGCACCTAGAGACTGGGCTGCTCTATATATACTCTGTAATCAGCTTATGAGAAATCAATCAAGAAACAAGTTATCTCCTAATCTACCTCTGCTTCATCTTAATCTCACCCCCTTCTACCTTGGTCGACCAGGTAACAGCCCTGGCGCCATTGCCGACCTCTGGCTATGAACTAAGGAGCAAGGGGCCAGCATCCTTGGGCACTAACGCCCTTGACAACCTGGTATCAGGTTTCCGGCGATCCTCATCCACCCCTGCGCCTCCACCACCAGCCGCCGCACCACCATCTTCACCCTCTCCATCCATTGCCTCCGTTTCATCACCCATGGCTGAACCCACCACGGCCGATTTGGCCAAACTCATCCAAACCCTCACACTGCCTCCATCAGTGATCTGCAAGGGCAGGTTGCCGCCCTTCAGCAGGAGCGACCAGCGGCGGCGTCCTTCTCTGGCTCCAGGGGTTCGGGCCACGGTGACCACCATGGTGACTGCCCACCCAGGTTCCAGAAGCTGGATTTTCCCAAGGTCAACGGCAAGTCCGATCCGCTGGCCTTCCTCTAACCGCTGTGAGTCCTATTTCATCAACAGCGCATTCCGGCGGAAGAACAAGTGTGGATGGCGTCTTACAACCTGGAGGCTGGCGCCAAGATGTGGTACCTCCAGGTGCAGCAAGATGAAGGCACTCCATCCTGGAGGTGTTTCTCTGAGCTGTTGAACCTCCGCTTCGGGCCACCAATCCGGTCCAATCCGCTGGGAGAACTCATGGCATGCAAGCGTACCAGCTCCGTCGCCGGTTCGAGGCTCTGCTGCCTTGCGTCGGCACGCTGCGCGTCCAAACCTTCACGGCGGGACTCCAGCCACCACTCAGCATCGACGTCGAGATCCACAACCCCCAATCTCTCATCGTCGCCGTGAGCCTCGCCCGCAAACTGGAGCAACGCGAGCAGTGTGTCGCGGTGGCCTTGCCTCCGCCCGCACCTCCACGAGCACCGATGCGCGGTCTCCTTCCAGGGCTGCCTCCTCGGCTGGCGCTTCCGGCCCCTCCGGCCAAGGCTGGGCCTTACACGGTCTCAGTCGAGGGTCGTCAGGTAAAGTGTCTTTCGCAGACTGAGATGGAGGAGCGTCGTCGCCTCGGCTTACGCTTCATCTGCAATGAGAAGTTTGTCCGGGGCCATAACCGCGTCTACCAGCGCATCTTCCTCCTCGACTTGGCTGAAGATGATGAAGCCGACGACGTCCAGGACGAGGAGTTCGCGGCAGCAACTGAGGCGGCTAATCCGCACATCTAGTTGCTCGCCATGGCTGGGGTTCGCACCAACAACACCATGCAAGTGCGCATCCAGCTGGGCAGTGCCTCCCTCCTCGCGCTCATCGACTCCGGCTCAACTCACAACTTCGTCTCTGAAGAAGCCGCGGGACGCACCTCACTCCAGCTCCTTCCCCGAGGCAACATGAAGGTGACGGTGGCCAACGGGGAGCGCATGCCGTGCCCTGGCATGTACCGCGCCACTGCCTTCTCCACCAACTTCTTTGCCTTGCCACTGGCCGGCTATGACGTCGTCCTCGGTACACATTGGCTGGCCTCCCTTGGGCCGATTCTCTGGGACTTCGGCACACTCACCATGTCGTTCTGGCACCGGGACCATCGCGTCTGCTGGCAGGGCGTCCCCGGGCCAGCAAGCCCGCTCTACGGGCATGCAACGACGCCGACCTTCTTCCATACTTGTTGGACGAGTTCAACTCCGTCTTCGCCGAGCCCGCCGGCATGCCGCCACCATGATCCCGGGACCACTGCATCAACCTCGTCCCGGGGTCCTCGCCGGTGGCCGTCAGACCCTACTGCTACCCCGCCTCCCACAAGGATGAACTAGAGTGCCAGTGCTCCACCATGCTAGCATAGGGGCTGATCCAGCGCAACAACTCGGCGTTCTCGTCCCCTGTGTTGCTGGTCAAGAAGGCGGACGGTACGTGGCTGTTCTGCGTCGACTACAGAGCCCTCAACGCCATCACTGTCAAAGATGCTTATCCAATTCTAGTGGTGGATGAGCTCCTGGATGAGCTGCACGGTGCTTGCTACTTCACCAAGCTTGACCTGCTTTCCGGCTACCACCAAGTCCGCATGAACCCCGCTGATGTGGAGAAGACGGCGTTCCGGACTCACAATGGCCTCTGAGTTCCTCGTGATGCCATTCGGGCTGTGCAACGCCCCGGCTACATTCCAGGAGCTGATGAACGATGTGCTGCGCCCTTCTTGCGTCGATTCGTCCTCGTCTTCTTCGATGACATCTTAATTCTACAGCAGCTCACTGGCGGAGCACCTGCGCCATGTTCGCGCGGTCCTCACCATGCTCCACCAACATCGCCTCTTCGTCAAGCGCTCAAAGTGCGTGTTCGGCGTCGACTCCATCTCCTACTTGGGGCACATCATTTCAGCCGCCGGGGTGGCCATGGACCCCGACAAGGTCCAGGCGGTTGCTGATTGGCCTACACCAAGATCGGCGCGCGCAGTCCGCGGGTTCCTGGGCTTGGCGGGGTACTACCGCAAGTTCGTCAAGGAGTTCGGCACAATCGCTGCTCCCCTGACCGCTCTGCTCAAGAAGGGCTTGACATGATGTCACATAGATAAACACAGGGAGGGCTTGGCAACTAGCAGCATTTAGCACAGAAATGGAAGGAATCCTTAGAATTTTGCCAAATTCCATGGGGCAAAGTAAACAATTGCTAAATGATTCAGGCATGGGCGCATAATTGAAATTTGGTATTAGCCACCCCTTGGCGACAAACCAAAACAACCCCAGATTTCTGAGGGTTAAACTAAAAGCATGCTCTAGATAATTAATTATTTGTTTATACTTGATAGGATGATACACATGTTGATTTTAATTCTAAGACAGCTCATAGAGCTATAGAAAACTAAGTTACACGTAAATAAACATGTGAAACAGGCTGACTACATTATAGCAGCACCCATGTGCTGGCAACTACCATGAAAGAGTCAATCAGAAACACATGAAATCTTAACACGATTTAATAGGATTTGACCACAATATGAGTAGTCTGCTGCAAGGATCGGGTCGTGTCGCGCCGTGTCGCGATCTGGACATGGTGTCAAGTGAGCAAGGATCGGGTCGTCGCATCCTTAGTGGTGTGCCACATCGGCGCCCGGGTGTGGTGCAAAATGAGCAAGGATCTTCACACCTACCTCGGCGGGTGCGAAGGGTAAGGAAGCTAGTCGAGCCAACTAGGATCCGTTTAGGTAGCTGGAATGTGTGGTCCCTTACAGGTAAGTTAAGAGAGTTAGTGGACACAGCGGTTAGGAGGCGTGTAAATATCTTATGCGTCCATGAGAATAAATGGAAAGGGCAGAAGGCGAAGGAGGTGGACAGTACCGGCTTCAAGCTCTGGTACACAGGAACAACTTCAAATAAAAATGGAGTAGGAGTTTTGATTGATAAGAGCCTCAAGGATGGTGTGGTGGAGGTGAGAAGGCAAGAGGATAGGATCATCTTAGTTAAACTTGTCATTAGTAATATGGTCTTAAACGTAATTAGTGCGTATGCCTCCCAAGTAGGCCATGATGTGAGTGCTAAGCGGCTTTTCTGGGAAGACTTAGATCGCTTGGTTAGAGCTGTCCCTAGTAGCGAGAAGCTCTTTATAGGAGGTGATCTTAATGGCCATGTAGGTATATTAAGTGCAGGTTTCGAGGCGGTTCATGGAGGTTTCAGATATGGTAGTAGGAACCAGGAGGGAGAGGAAGTCTTAGACTTCGCCATAGCTTTGGATCTGATGATAGCTAACACTTTCTTTCGTAAGAGACAGTCCCATTTAGTGACCTTTAGTAGCGGCCAGTACTCTAGGCAAATCGACTTTGTCCTTACAAGGAGGAGGGATAAACGAACATACGTGGACCGTAAGGTGATACCTGAAGAATGTGTGGTCGCTCAACACAAGCTGGTGGTGGTTGACCTCCGCTTTCTAGTGCAAGCTCGTGGGAACAAACAATCTAGGGTTGCTAGAACGAAGTGGTGGAAATTAGGAGGGGAGACATCAAAGGTCTTTAAGGAAAAGGTCATTAAAGAGAGCCCTTGGAATGATGAAGGCGATGCAAACAGCATGTGGGAGAAGATGGCAACATGCGTTCGGAAGGTTGCTTCAGAGTTGCTTGTAGTGACCAAAGGGAGCGGATGCGACACGAAAGACACTTGGTGGTAGAATGAAGATGTGCAAAAGGCTATTAAGGAAAAGGAGTGCTATAAGCACTTGTATCATGACAGGTGTGCAAACAATATAGAGAAGTACAAGGTGGCAAAGAAGACTGCAAAACGAGCGGTGAGTGAGGCAAAGGGGCGGGCCTATGAGGACCTTTACCGACGTTTAAGTACGAAGGAAAGAGAGAAGAACATTTATAGGATGGCTAGGGCTCGCGATAGGAAGACAAGGGACTTCAACCAAGTCAAGTGCATAAAGGATGAGAGAGAGCAGCTCTTGATGAAAGAGGATGAGATCAGACATATATGGTAAGAGTATTTTGATAAATTGTTCAATGGTGAGAACGAGAACACCACCGTTCAGCTAGACGACTCGTTTGATGACACTAACATGCGCTTTGTGCGGAGAATTCAAGAATCGGAGGTCAGAGAAACCTTGAAAAGGATGAAAGGAAGCAAAGCGATGGGCCCTGATGGTATCCCAATCAAGATGTGGAGATGTCTCCGGAATATAGCTATAGTATGGCTAACCATGATGTTCAACAATATCTTTCGATCGAACAAGATGCCTGAGGAATAGAGAAGAAGCATATTGGTACCAATCTACAAAAACAAGGGAGATATCCAAAGCTATACTAATTATCGGGGAATTAAGTTGATGAGCCACACTATGAAGTTATGGGAGAGAGTCATCGAGCAGCGCCTATGAGGAATGACGCAGATATCAACAAACCAATTTGGTTTCATACCCAGAAGGTCAACCACAGAAGCAATCTTCTTAATAAGACAGGTTGTGGAGCGGTTTAGAGAGCAGAAGGACATCCACTTGGTTTTCATTGACTTGAAGAAGGCTTATGACAAGATATCAAGAAATGTTATGTGGTAGTCTTTGGACAAACATAAAGTCCCATCAAAGTACGTGACCCTCATCAAGGACATGTACAACAATGTTGTGACTAGTGTTCGAACAAACGATGGTAACACAAATTACTTCCCGATTAAAATTAGACTTCAACAAGGGTCAGCCTTAAGCCTGTATCTCTTTGCCTTGGTAATGGATGAGGTTACCAGAAACATATAAGGGGATATCCCTTAGTGTATGTTGTTCGCTGATGATGTAGTGTTAGTGGACGAAAGCCAGGCGGGAGTAAATAGAAAACTAGAGTTATGGCGGCAAACCCTTGAGTCTAAAGGTTTTAGATTGAGCAGAATTAAACCAAATACATGAGATGCGACTTTGACAGAGGTGTACAGAAGGAGGGAAATGTGAGTTTGGAAGGTCAAGTAGTGCCTAAGAAGGATATCTTTCGGTATCTGGGATCGATGCTACACAGGGATGGAGATATTGATGCGGACGTTAGCCATAGAATCAAAGCAGGGTGGATCAAGTGGCGACAAACTTCTAGCATTTTCTGTGACAAGAGGGTACCACAAAAGCTAAAAGACAAGTTCTATAGAACGACGATTAGACCGGCTATGTTTTATAGAGCAGAATGTTGGCCTACAAAGATTCGACATGTTCAACAACAGAGTGTAACAGAAATGCGTATGTTACGATGGATTTGCAGTCACACAAGAATGGACCGAGTTCAAAACGATGATATAGGTGATCGCCTAGAGGTAGCACCAATTGAATAAAAGCTTATCCAACATCGGTTGAGGTGGTTTGGCCATGTCCAATGGAAACTTCCAGAGGCACCAGTGCATTGTGAAGTCCTAAGCCAAGCTAAAAATATGAGGAAAGGTAGAGGAATATCGAAATTGATATGGGGAAAGCAATAAAAAGATATTTGAAAGCTTGGGATATACTTAGAGATTTATGTTTGAATAGAAGTACTTGGAAAGCAACTATTAAAGTGCCTGAACCGTGACTTGGGGCTCTTGGTGGGTTTCAACTCTAGCCTACCCCTAACTTGCTTGGGACTGAAAGGCTACGTTGTTGTTGTTGTTGTTGTTATTGATGATGAGTAGATACCGAAAGGTATCCTTCTTAGACACTACTTGACCTTCCAAACTCACATCTCCTTCCTTCTGTACAACTCCGTCAAAGTCGCATCTCATGTATTCAGTTTAGTTCTGCTCAATCTAAAACATTTAGACTCAAGTTGTCGCCATAACTCTAGTTTCCTATTTACTCCCGTCTGGCTTTCGTCCACTAACACTACATTATCAGCGAACAACATACAGAAGGGATATCCCCTTATATGTTCCTGGTAACCTCGTCCATTTCCAAGGCAATATAACCTTTGAAGTGCCACATACACATGCATTATTATTAATTTATAAAGGGTGAAAGACAAAGCATGTCTTATATACCAACAACTCAATACAGCTAGTCTGCCAACAACTTATCCAAAGATAACCATCACATACACGACAAGCGAACAGTTTAGAAATCAGAAACTACAGGGCAATAAGCAGAAATCAGGTTGAACATTAGCACATCAGAAACATATATTGGTATCAGCAGCACACAATTTTAGAATAAAACGACCCAATAGTAGTCATTTTGCAGTAGCAAGCAGTAAACTAGGACCAGTAATAATCGCACAAAAAGTTGAATGTTGAGACAAAACAAGGGAAAGTTAAATTAAATAAAACGGGTAAGAAGTGCAGGAATTGTGAGACAGGGCCTGTTTACCATCATCTTCCAGGCGAGGTAGCCAACGGGCCCTCCCCGCTCGCCGTCGCCGTTGGCAGAGTTGTGCTCCCCTCCTGCGCCGGCTCCGAGTCCCCCTCTCCTGAGCACGTCCCTGACGAACTCGACAGCGAGCTCCCTCTCCCCGCGGTCCCAGTAGAGCGCGACGGCCTTCTCCACGAGGCTGAACCCGGGCCGCAGCCCGACGCAGTCCATCTCCCCGAGCAGTGCGGCGACGTCGGCGACGTCCCCACCGGACCCCACGAGGCGCTCGATCCAGCCGCAGGCGATGGCCGCCATGAGCTCCATGGTCTCCCCGTCGACGCGGTTGGCGCGGCGGAGCCAGTCGAAGACCTCGAGCGCGCAGTAGGCGTCGCGCCCCTCCTGCGCGAAGTAGACGAGCACCAGCTGCAGCTCCCGCGGGGACAGCGCCGCGAGCGGGGCCTCGTCGGCTGCGACGGAGGCCGGCTCGCGCTCCAGGTGCTCGATGGCGGCGGCGAGGAGGCCGTCGGGCGCGGGCACGGTGGCGGCGGGGGAGAGGGACGGCGCCGCGGCATGGTCTAGGCGCAGGGAGCGCGGGGGCGGCGGGGGCCGGGGGGAGACAGACGACGCGGGGAGTCGCCGGGAGGAGGAGCGGGTGGATTGGTGAAAGGTGCCGACGGCCGCCGCGGCGGTGGTGGCGTGGGAAGAGAGCGCCATGGGTAGGGATGGGGAGGGGCTAGGGTTGGGAGGAGGGCATGAGAGTGAGTGAGGCGGAGGATTTGGAGGCTTGGGTGTTGATGTGTGGGGAGGAGAAAGGGCGACGTGGCCCAAGCCAAGGAAGGGAAAGGGATGGCGGAACGGCGACGGCGATTGGGGCTTGTGCTGTGGGAGAGGAAGACCGGAAGAGTGTTGGGGCTAGAGATGGCAACGGTATAAAATATCCGCATGCCCGCGGGCAAGAGACCCGCTATGCAAGAATACGGGTGTATGAGTTTGCCCGTGGGCACGGATACGGATACGTCCCCAAACCCGACGGATATCAGCTGACGGGTGAGAAAATATGCTACCCGCCGTCACAAACTCGTCGTACCCGTTACCCCCAACGCAGGCAACCAACAGCCCACATTCTTATTCACGGCCCATTGAAGCCCAGCAGAAAAGTCGCATATAAAAAGCAGCTAAATCTAATTGCTCAACATATCTCCACTCCCCACTCTCCCGTCTAACCGCCGCCACCGCCTGCTTAGCGAGTCGTGATTGCGCATCGCACTTCCGCGGTCCCGCAGCATCACGCCTGCAGTCCCTCTTGCTCGCAAGTTCTAGATCGAGAGCCGCATTCCCTTCTCTTGCAGTTATGCTCACGCATGCAGCATGTGTTCCAGATCGAGAGCCACACTCCCTCTCTCTCTCTCTTGTAGTCAAGCATTCAGCAGGCATGCATCCTTGAACACTCGTCCATGATTGGCTAAAGGAGAAAAGAAGCGTAGAATTGCTGGTCCTTCAACTCTGGTCCGTGATTGGCTAAAGGATGAGGATTGAAGTCTTGGAGGAAAGCAGCACAGCACTGCTGTCCGCTTTGCATTTTTTTATTTGGATTTTTTGAGATAGGAACTACAATTGTTTCTACTTTATTTTCTCGATTAGAAATTTATTGTTGTATAGTCCTCGTCGCTCTGCAGTTGTCCTTGCCGTCACCGCCCTCCTCTAGATCTTGCGGGCACACGGGCATGCCCGCGGGCAAGGCATGCCCGCGGATAGCAGGCGCGGGCATGGGATGCTGCCCGTGGCGGGTGGCGGGCACGGGTACGGGCACGGAATTTTGGTCATGGGCGCGGGCATGCGGCACCAGTATCCGCGGGCATTTTGCCCGTTACCATCTTTAGTTGGGGCGGGCCGCGGGGGCGTGGATCACGGACCGCCGAGCGATTTGTGTTGTGGCATTGTCCCTTCTCGCTGTGACGGAGATCTGCAGACTCTTCACGTATGGGACGACGCCATGAGACCACGACCGTTATGCCATGTCTAACACCACACCGGCACGGCGGCACTGTCTCGTCCTTGATTTGTTCTTTTTTTATTTAAAAAACGATACGTCGACGTAATATTCGCAACATCACTATTAAAGTCTTTAGAAAGGATGGACAACTAAAACATAATAATAAACGGTTATTCAATGAGCATTGCTTTTTATAGAAAAAAACCAATGCCACAATAGTAGATAAGTATAGACATGTGTTGTATTGTTCAAAAATGATACTTCGACCGTGATGTTTGTAACCTCACTATTACATAAGTATTCGTAAAAGATGGACAATTAAAATATAATGAAGGTTATTTTGTTGTACTACTTGTATATGAACTTTGATACGGGATTCTTGTTTCCTTGATGAAATATTTGTATGTTTTCGAGGTTAGATGGACAGATAAAATAAACTTGCAATTTTAGGTCACTACACCAATTACAGGATTTGCCAACTGTGGGGGATATACCCCCGGGTACCACAAGATGGTACATGGGCCGCACCATCCGAGGTGGCCCGGCCCGTAAGATCAAGGCGTGCACATCAAGATTACAAGTTGTACTAGATATTGTAATAGTATCAAATTGGATACTTTGCTTGTAACCTTGTCTCTTCGGAGTATATAAAGAGAGACAAGGGTCCCCTAGAGGACAGGTTAATCTGTATACATCTCAATACAATACATCAAAGACACAGGACGTATGATATTACGTCGATCAGACGGCCCGAACCTGTCTAAATCGTTGTCTCTGCGCCTTGTGTCACCATCTGGTTTCTGATTACACGCACCGTCTACCGATAATCTACCACCACGGGCACCCTCCCTCGGTGGACTACCGACCATATTTCGTCGATAGTGGCGCGCCAGGTAGGGGTTGTGCGCGCTGATCCATGGTGAACTAGATGGCAGACCTCGATTCCACCATACGATGACAACTCGGCGACGGAATCAATCTACTACGGCTACAACTGAGCGACCTTCGTTGCATACCGACGTCCATGTGATCCTCTCCTCGGCTGAACTACATGGCGGCGCTTCGTCGAGATCCCATCGGGCTCACGAGGGGCACCTAGGCCCGTGATCTACAGCAACATGCAAGGCTAACTTGCATGTACGGGCGTATGCACATATACAGCATATGCATATTGTAACACCTCGGGTGTTAGCTTTGCATAACTTGACTTGCATAACATGAGCATGAGCATCAAGCATTCATAAATCATCATTTCAATTGAAACATTCGATCGAAACATATGAAACATTGCTTGTTATCTCGTATTTCTTGGAACATATGCATATGATCATGTGCAAATGAATGCAAGTAGGGAATGTTGGTCACTAAAACACTTTAGCTACACTTAGGTTAACAAAAGGAACATTGTTCATGAAGGCCACATTTCATGATCAAGCACTTAAGTGATATTTCATGTGTTGACCTGAATAGCTATATGAGTGACTACTACATGAAATGCTTAAATGACCTTGCAAATTGTTTAAACATGCTTAGGATATCATTAGGAACAACTTTGGTATTTAGTGCTAAGGCTAGTTTGGTCATTTAGCCATGGTTTGTGTATGTATCATGATTTCAAAGTGACATGTTTGACTAAAGTTGAACTAGGTGTTAGGGACCTTGCATGGAGGAGTTCACTAAAGCAAAGTTGTAGTGTTTGACATAAGGAATAACTTTGATTTTTGGGTCTTTGACTGATTCAGCTCCTAACCTGCTTGAATTTGGATTTCAAAAATCATCGAATCACTGTTTTCAACACTTAAGCAATTTTTCTAAGTCTAGGTTCATTAACAGCCTGACAGGCCCATCTTGGGGATGACATTACTTGTTTTTGGTTGCGAATTTGAACATACTCCCTTAACCAAAGTTGAAGCTGGTACATAGGGCTATAAATTTTGTTTAGACGTCTTATGCTTTGGAGCAACGGATTAGCCGATAAATCAACTTGAAAACGTTGTCAAAGTGCCATCGAACGATCGACGAATCAAACGCCTGTTCTTCAAAGGGTGGCCGACCGGAGCAGAGTTGTTGGCGCAAGTGTCCCCATGACGCCGCGTGCCGCCACTTACCGATCACAAGAGTGCCACGACGCGCGCTGGCGCGCGCTTCATCACCGCCACATTCTACCGAGTCGCCGCGCTCCCATTTCCCTTCGGCGCCCTTTCTTCCTCATTGCAGTTAGCTGCCGAAGCGCCGCCGCAGCTCGCCGTCGCCATAGCCACGCAGCATGTGCGCCTAGCCACCCCAAAGACCACCACCAAGCTTCACCGTCTTCTCGGCGACCCCTGCTCCCTTCCGTGCTCACCGACCAAGCTTGGTAAGCCATTGCTGTAGCGTTTAAGCTCGCGGGAGCTCGCCAACCCGAAATCCACGTGGTCGGAGCGCCTGATCCACCTCTCCATGCGTTAGCTAGTGCGCCGAAAGTCGTCTTAGGTAGCTTATGCTCGTCCAAGCCTTAGATCGGGCCACTGGGTCGTCACCGGCGTATTGCCGTGGTCCAGCCTCGCCGTTCGCCATGGCAGCGCCGCGATAGCTCTAGGGTCGGCAATAGGTCCGATCCCTGTCGATTCGAGAGGTTCGCTGAAGTCGTATAGGTCATACCGTGATGACCTCACTCACGATTTAAGCTTCGCCGTCGACGAGCCGCAGCAGCCAAGAAGGCCAGCAGGCGCCATATTGCTGCTCGCCTCCGTGTCATCGACGCGTGGGGTCCCCGACCAGTGGTCCCACCTGTCACGATGACAGCAGATAGTGAAGGCTAACCCATTTTAATCCGATTTTTGATTTGTTTTGTGAAATTTGTATCTTCAGTTTGGTAGCTCCAAAATTGTGAAATAAATATGGTTGTGTTCCTTAGGAAATGTAGTTTTAAGAAAAATATGTTCTTGGGTTCAACAGTAGAAATTTCTGGAGATTTAAATAGGGATTTGAAATGTGCTTTTGAATGCATTCAAATTTGTTTATTTTATATCTAGAGTTCCTGTGCTCCAAAAATTATGAAATTTTTGTGGTGAACTAATCTTAGCATGTGTGAACTCTGGTAAAAATTTGAGGACCAGTGCATGAGTAGATTTAAAGTTATAGATTTTTCTTTTATGACTAGTTAATCCTTGCATGAATTTTCATAAATTAAGTATGAGTCCAAAATTCATGAAATTTGTTGGAGGTAATCCTAGTACCATATGGATGCTAAGAAAATATGAAATCTGTTGCTTGACACTTTTCAATAGGATTTTCCATTTATGCTATTTCAAGCCTTCTTTGCCTTGTCATTTTGTATAGAATGTTCTACTTGGTAAAATGACATGAAATTTTTACAGTAGTCTCTTGATAGCATTAGTAAAGCTCTGTAAATTTTTGAGAATTTATTAAGCACATCTGATATATATTTATTATTTAACCTAGATATCTAAATAAAATAATAAAGGCAATTTAATAAATAGTTTGGGCTTTACCATTATATCATCTTAACTGTATTTGGTATGCTTAAACTATTGGTAGGTTCTAGGTTGTCAAATTTTGAATGATTACCCAAGTAGAAGTATTCTTACTTTATGTTGCATGTTAAGTCATTTCCGGACTGATTCTAGAGTGTGAGGATTTGCATGTTGAAACTGATGTGTACTGTAAAAATGGTTGATAACAAAGTTGTAGAAAATTTGATAAGCTTTCCAGAAAGTCC